TCATCACTCGAATTGAATTCGAGTATGTTACCATTACACCACTTACTCAAGAAATAAATCAAACATGCGCACCTTTTATAGTATTGTACAGAACGATGCAATCACTGCATAAAAGGTAGTGACGTCACTACTAACTTGCATCATCATTCAATAACGAGAAAAAAACACTCTTTTCGTATTATTCCTTATGATTAAAATATGTATCTAATTCAAAATAAAAAATTCAGTGTTATATACTAGTATATTTTCTTGTTTATTGCAAAAAAACTAGAATTCAAAAATGAAATAGTTCATTAATATATATCAATGTTACCGCCATAAATATATATTAGTACCGACTTTTTTTAATATATAATCAGTGAGTAATGTCTCAGATTCGATCAATGTTCTCAATGTTGCAAGAAAAAATGGACACGTCGATACAAGACGTATTGAGCACAAATTACTTGTATTTTCATTTCTCTTCTTCAATAGAAATCGTACTATTGATTCTAAATCCTCCGTATCATGACCTAATGTTAAATGTTGAATTCGAGAACATAAAGCAACAAATAATTGAAGTTTATCTAATGTACATCTTTGTTTAAAAATCACATTTGTAATCATATTTGTATTGGATACTAATTGAAAAGTTTGATTTTGTTGAATAGATTTATAATTAACCCCATAAAGTGGCATAGATTCGAATATTAATGTCCGAATATAAGGTGTAAATTGTAATATTTCAATTATTTTTGTCAATGAAAGAGAACGAGATTTAATAACTAATTTAGTCAGTTGCTTCAAAGGAATAATATGATTGAGATTGATTGTAATTAACTTACGGGTACATGAAAGACTATTTTCAAGAGTAAGCGTAGTTACATTTGGAAAATAATATTTACAATCTATTATTTCATTTTCATTGTCAATGCGAAGATGTTGAACAGATTGCAAATGAGTTTTCTTCGAATTTAAATAAGTTGATGGATGAATTTGCTTACATAATGTATAATATTTTCTTCTAAAAAGTAAAAGTAATACACATATAGTACAATTCAAAATCTAGTTTATTAATACCTATATGGTTCTATTGAACAGAAGATTGTACAATTTCTATATCGTTCCTGAATAAATTGTTGTGTAAAAAACCATTCTCGTTCGCTCCAAAATGAAGATGTAAACGTATTAGTTGGATTATTCAATATCACCTGATTATTAGTAGTAATATTTCTCGACCAAGTTTCATGTCGAATATCGAATATACGTAAATTTCGCATATGAGATAATATCAATTGTTCCCATCTATTAGCATTTATATACATTTGATCATTATTATTATGTATGAAAATATGTAAAACGTGTACTACATGAAAAATATCAATAACCATTTCTTCGAATACAGCAAAGCTTATGGAGCTTAGATCTAGTGAAACATGTGTTAAATAAGGTAATAGAAATGGAGATGGTTTCATATACGTCGTCCATGAGTTGAGTATATAACAAATATATACACGACGAAGTTGAGGAATAGACGATAATAAGTTGTAAAGTTCATTGGTGGAAATATCGTGCTTGATGATTAGATGCTCGATAGTACTGTATTTATCGAGTGTTGGTAATGATACTTCACTGTAATGTGATCCTTTCAATGATAAGCTGCAATATTTCAATGCAGGCAGACGAATTATCTGAGAATAGATAGCAGTCCTGTTTACAATAATGTCTATTGATGTGATCGATAATGAAGAGAGACATGGTAAAGAAACTAATGTAGGAAGGAGATATTCAAGATGTTTTGATTCAATATTATTAAGACTAAGTGTTTTGAGACGAAGAAACTTGGATAGAATATGAATCGGCAAAGAAATATCATCATATAAACACGGATTTGATAAATGAAGTGAATGAATTCGATGTTTATTCGGTAGAATAATGTCTTTATTGTATCGTTTAAACGTCGATTTTGATATAGATGAAAGATTCACTTCAATTGGAAGAGTTGAATTCGTTATAAGATTATAAAATCGTGCATTAAGTGAGTCAAAAGCTTGACAAACATGATGAAAATCTAATAAATCAAATATTTCATAGATTAATTCATTAGAGAGATCTTCAAAACATGTGATGAATTCTTTCAATGAACTAAAACAAACAAGAACATTCATTTTAACGAATATTTTCGGTTGACCCACCAATTCGCTTCAACTGGAAAAAAATAGAAATTATAGAAAAAGAATTACTTATGTATTTTATTTTGGATCTTCTGTTTTTTATTATTAGCATAAATATTCACACTGTTATTTCGTTGACGTTTTCTTTGTTCCATATGTAAATATTCTCAATACTATAAATCGATAATAAAGCGTCCGTTATTCAAAAAATGAAAGAATGTAATGTTTATATATGTGCAGATTTAATGAGTCATCTCGATAGAAAAATAAATGGGTTTTTATTTTTGAAGGTGAGTCATACAGAACAGTAAAAAATTGAAAATTTCCATATTAGATTCTATAATTCTCAATTAAATAAATATTTTTCACATATATTAGCGGTTCATTATAAATTTTAAGAATAAATAATATTCAATAAGACAATAAATTTGACTTTGCATGATCAGGTGAATATTAGTTCAGAAGATTCAAACTTCTCACGCATCTACACATATGATGCATTAATAAAAACCCTCAGGGTGTAGGTAGGAGCGGTTGTGGATTCATCTTTTCTTTCCCTTCCCTTCACTCACACCCATGTGCCTAGTCTAACCAGTCATTGCTACTATCATTTGACGACTCAATATGATTTCATTCCTATTTTCAAATTAAATCGATATTCACATTTTTCATGTTCGTGTAGAAAAGACACACGCAATCATTTAGAAAGAACAGCAATACCCACGTTATATATATATAGTCTGCCATCTATCCACATTAAAAAAATTATAACATCATTTCGTTTTCTTTTTTTCGTATTGATTAGATAGAAGACGAAGAGTCATATGAGAAGAAAACAATATCACATAGATTGCAAAGTTATAATACAATAAATAAACTTCTATTTATTACTCTCATATATACTAATAATTCTATCTTAACATAAAGTAAATAACTTTCCGTTATAAACTATAAATTTAGAATGATTTATTATGAATTGTTTCAAGCTACAATAGTCTGTAATACATAGAGGATTGTTCGATTTAAAAAAAAATGAATTATTCATCGGCGGTTGATGTTAATTCATCGCCAACCGAGATTGTAGGCTCTGATGGATGCTGAGGTCGATCTTGACCAGGTGGATGCACCTCCATTGCACCTGTAATAAAGGAAATCTTGGCAAATTTATTGTCGGGTACAGCAATCTGAAATATTCGTATGAAACAAGTGATTAATACAATATCGAATCATTTCTTTTACCTTGTAATCATGAATTGTACCACAAGCCTCAATGTGACGAGCAGTCACTGGTTTCAATTCAAAATTAGCCGGAATCGACGAATGTTTCTTTCGAACTTCACTTTCAATATTTTTCTTGTGCTAAAAAAAGATTGATTTACAAATAAAGAATATAAATGCAGTGATTTACTTTGTTAAATAATTCCAAGTCTGTATCGACCACCGGCTTGTAAGAAAATCGATCATCGGCCATTTAAAATTTTTTTCTGTGTCAATTGGATACTATAAGCAAAGAAAAAAAAATGCTTCGATATTTATTTACAGGTACATCGATTTTTCTCCCTCATTTTTTTTCTCTCGCCAAATTGATGTTGTCGCTTTTACCTGTACAGTTTCATATAAGCATAAACAAAATATATTTTCACACACTCCATCAGTATTCTATTTAAAACTCTATCCAATACAATTATTTTGCTAGTAAGGGGTGTGCATAAGCCAAATAATTTCATACGACGCAATTACTTTGTCAGACATGTGCTTAAATAAGCCAAAATAATTTCGTACGGTGAAATTATTTTGCTAGTCATAGGCATGAGTTAGAAAAATATATATGTCCTTGATACATTCATTTGACTAAATCTTTTTCTTTTTCCACTAATAAGTAGTAAAATACATCGATTTCGAATGTTTGATTGCAAATTATCCGAAATAAAAATACTGAATATCAAAACGTTGAAGAAATAAAAAAAATCGAATATCGTGTTTTTCAACAGCTAACTCTAAAGAATATTCTTGAATTTCACTATTTTTTAAGCTTGTCTTACATATATTGACAGATCGATAATTTGAGAGAAAAGTCGACGAGCAAAAATAGAAACAATAATCAAGCTCGTGATGAAAGAAGAAAAAAAAAAGAAAAACTACATTGCAGCAATCTGATGTTGCATACCCTACAATTTTCTTTCCTTCGTATTTTTTCCCGTTTACAAGTGAATACTAATACTTTCTTCATCGACGGATAATTTTTATTTTTCTCTTCTCATATATACACGTGCTTATCTTACGCTTATCGTTCTTTTTTCACAGATGCATAGCATTTATTTTTCCGTCTTTGTATTTTTTGAATAAAATATGATAATCAATTAATAGGCTTTATATGACTCATACTTTGTCTTTACTACAGATGAGAAACTTTTTTGACATCTTATAATTTCGATATTTTGAACTTCGACGCTTTATAATCTAACATTTAGAGCAGGTACACAGAACAAAATTTAATAAGAAATAATTATTGTTGAGACAAGCAGCGACCATCAGAGTTGCTTATTTTCTTTGTGCATTATTATTTATTGAAATTATTTATAGAAGAAAAGCTACCATTATATTACCAAATAAACTTGTCATAGAATCAAGTTCGTGAGTGAAAAGAAAAGAGATTGTGTATTATTTTGTAATTCATCTATAATGAACTATTTATGACTCTTTTATATCGATTAATTTTATATTCTCTGTAAGCAAATGGCCTAGAATAACAAAAAATATTGATGATCATCAAGAGCACAAACATTCTTTTAGCTTTGATCAATAGTCAATGCGACATATTTATTTCATTTTAAATCGATCATGGAATATTGATTGAATGTCAACATTTGTTAGTAATAAAGTAACTAAAAGAGAAAAAAATTCGATTAGAAGAAATAGTTTTTACTTTGTATTTTTTTAACGATACAAACGACAAGCAAAAATAATGTTTGGCAACCAAGGATTTGGTATGTAACTAAATTGTAAAAATCAGGAAAAAAAAAGAGATAATTCTGAATTTGAATATATCTCTATTCTTTTTTGTAAGGAGAATACCCATCAAAATACAAGATATATGTTATGCACTGCACTTGTATCTTCGAAAATTCTTATAATTTTGCAGAGTATGTTATGAAGTAAAATTCAGTACACGAAAAACGAACTGGAGACATATTTAGTCTGTCAGAGATAACTACGAGATCTTTTCGATGTGCAGAGTAAATTCGTCATATCTTTCTAATAAATTTTCTTTTTCAATATTTTGAGTTACTTGTTTTTTCTGCACGGATGACAGCGAATGAAATAGATAGCTATAAGCCTGTATTTTATGCCGGTCCGTTATCTAAAGCCTTTTTTTCAAAATGCTTCCTTCTTTTGAGAAAATTTCTAGTTTATCTGTTTGTTTCTTTATGTTCTTTAAAATAATATGGAAGTCAACCAACAAACAATATATATTATTCTATAGGAATGAGTGGATTTGGTGGACCTGGTGGAGGTGCTGGAGCTGAAGGATTTGGTGGTCATGGTGGAATGAGTGGAAATGGCGTTATTACTGGTGCGGAAGCGAAGAAATGGAAACAAGATGCACAGTATGCCTTTAGTAAACCTAAGCAAGTTTCTCTTTTAACAGACTGGCTCGGTTTTCGACAAATCGATTTAGCTGGTGCAGAATGGATTATGAATTCTACTGATCAATCAAATCAATGTGAAGTAGCTCGATTACTTGCAAGACAGTGTACGGAAGACAGAGCCAAAGTCAAAGCTCAATTTCGCAATCATATGCACAGCGATAATTGGACAACAGTATTTGGCAAATAACTTCTAAAATTTCCAAAATTAAAAAAAAACTACTATTCTTAATTTAGAAAGGAACAATAATGTTTAACCAATTATATTTTTTCTTCTATATATTGCGTAAGAGGGAATGTTACAAATAGATATATTACAAACGTTAGATGTTTCCATCGATCATTTACTATTTATTTTTCACTTCTATCTTGATATTGTTTAAAACTATGATAAAATGATGTCATTCAATTCGTCACTGCTAATTTGCACAATAATTATATATTATTAATAGAAACGATTGAGTAGGCTTTTAAACCCTTTGAATTATGAAAACAAAGACATGTCGCGAAAATTTTATACATATTTTATGTTATTATTTAAATTTAAAATATTCCAGAAAATATCTTTTTGATCATAGCAAATGCTACAGTCCATTGTTGTTTTGTTTCCGGTGGACTTAATTTCGGATTGGGTCTTGCTTGTCGTTGTTTCTCAAACATTTGCACTCCATATTGCTGTTCTCTAATTATGAGCATAAATTCTTTTCGGGCGTCTTTGTTTTCAACTAAGATCTGTAAATGTGGATGACGTTTTGCTGCCGTAGTTAACATGATGTTTATTGTTGTATGATGAAAAATAGTGAGAGGCTATGCTTTTTATGTTTGCGATAAAACAGAATGACGCACTGTCGATGTCGAAGAATAATAATCGTACGTCATTTTCTGTAGATTCTGTCAACAACATTCATGAAGCGAGTCATATAATGTTGGTTTTTACCTAGGATTGTAATTGTAATACACAACTAGTATGCTATGGATGACGCGCTCGTTTTTTCACAACAAAAAACTGAAGGGAATAAAACATGAGTTACCTGTATTCAAATCTAAAAGAAGTATTTACATACAGTGCTATTTGCTCATTGCACACCATACTTGCAAGGCAACCAGTCTTACACGTCGCCAAGAGAGAACAAAAAAAAGAGCTTTTTTCAATTTTATCTCAACGTCAGTAACGAAAGAGCGTGTGAGTGGAGATGGGTATAAGTATAAAGCTGTAACAAGCTGCCATGACACATGTTCCAAACTTATTGAATGTAGGTGATATATTTACTTTATTGTATCCCCACACCCACACCCACACCCTTCACTGAAGTGACAATTTGCTTATTTGTTAGTGAAAAATAATCATTAGATAAATGAATGACCAGTCATCGAGACGAATTGATCTAATGTTAGATAGATGAAGACTGTTACAAAGGTAAAGATGAACGATAAGGAAAGAAAAATGTCTTATCATCATTCTATATAAATGTGTAGAAAAGAAATCATTATCTAGATGTTACATCTTTTGTTTTATTTTCTCCACGTGTTACAATGGTTCTGATATGAATTGGTATTGTTATGATTATATGGCTTCTTTTCAAAATTGTCGATTCAACTGATATACCAAAAATTCGTGGTCTTCCCGAAGCTACTGGTTGGCCAATATTTGGATGTTTATTTCAATTAGGAACAAATCATTCTCTTGCTCTATCCAAGCTTAGCAAAAAACTTGGTCCAGTCTTTCAGATTCGTCTAGGAAATAAACGAATTGTTATTGCAAATTCTTTCGATTCTATTCGTGAATTATGGATACGAAATCAATCATCTTTAATTAGTCGTCCGTTACTACATACATTTCATACTGTTGTTAGTAGTAGTCAAGGATTTACTATCGGTACATCTCCATGGGATGAATCATGTAAACGTCGTCGAAAAGCAGCAGCAACAGCATTGAATAAACCAGCAGTTCAATCCTACATGCCCATCATCGATGTGGAATCTTATTCTGCTATTAAAGATATTTTTCAAGAATGTAAAGATGGACAAATGGATATTAATATTATTCCTCATCTTCAACGATTTGCTTTGAATACTTCATTGATGTTAAATTATGGGACACGATTTACTTCGTCTGATGATGAACTTTTAAAAGAAATTTGTAATGTTGAAGCAGCAATATCACGATTTCGTTCAACTTCCAATAATTGGCAAGATTATGTTCCACTTCTTCGTCTCTTTCCAGCTAAATCCAATGAAGCGAACAAATTTCGTCTTCGTCGTGATCGTTATCTAAACATTCTTCTCGATGGATTAAAACAAGACATTGCGAACGAAACAGATAAGCCATGTATTACTGGAAATATTCTCAAAGATCCTTCGGCACAATTAAATGAAGCAGAAATCAAAAGTATTTGTTTAACAATGGTTAGTGCTGGTCTTGATACTATTCCTGCAAATATTATATTCGGTATTAGTTATCTATCTTCCTCACATGGCCAAGAGATTCAGCAACGAGCATATGAAGAAATTCAAGATATTTATCCCGATGATGATGCATGGGAAAGATGTTTAGTTGAAGAACGTGTACCATATGTTACTGCATTTTATAAAGAAGTTCTTCGATATTTTACAGTAATTCCAATGTGTCTACCACGGCGAAGTATTCACGATATTGAATATAATGGAGTCATGATTCCTACAGGAACGTTATTCTATATGAATGCATTTGGCGGTGATTATGATGAAGAGCATTTTGAAAATCCTGAAATATTTAATCCAGAACGATATTTAGGTGATGTAGAAGGTACACAACATTTTGCTTATGGAGCTGGAAGTCGAATGTGTGCTGGAGCACATTTAGCTAATCGAGAATTATTCACATTTTTTATTCGATTGATTACAGCATTTCGAATTTTACCACCGAAAGATGAAAACTATGCAGCAGCGACAGATGCAATGGAAGCAAATCAATATCATACAGCTCTTGTAGCAGAACCAAAAATATTTAAATGTCGGTTTGAACCGAGAAATAAGGACCTATTGGCAGCTTGGCTTGAAAGTACTCGACAACGAACAGAAGATGATTGATATTCTTATCTGTAGAAATTATTAACTCGAAAAAAATTCTTTGAACTTCTTATTTGTTTATTTTCTATTATCAATTGAAAACATACAGAATGAAGAAAATGTGGATGAGAGATCTTCTTCTCTCACATCCACCACTTATCTACACCCTCAAGATCAAATAATAATAATATTTTTTGCTATACATTTTACATGTCGGCTTAATACTATTATAACAAGAAAATGAATAATACCCGCTCAGAAAGGAAATTCGAAAGACCTAGCACGTTATAAAATTCTTTGGATGTAATTAATTTATTATTTTTTGTTTTTCTTTCTCTTGCTCTCCTCTTAAATTATTAAATAAGTATTTATTTATTTATTTGTTTAATTTTTCTGTTTACATTAAAAAGTTGATTTCACGGTTGGATTTGTTCTAAGTATCTCACAATGAACACGTGGACTACATTGTACCCTCTTGACTGTGTGAATGTGGGTGTGGACATAAGCTTTGTTCTAATAACACACCCACACCCTTCTATCGGTATGGATAGTTTACTACTGTAATCTTTATGAACCATGTTGTTTTGTAAAAATTTAAATTCTTTACGTATCAAAATGCCATATATTTTGTTTCGATTATTAATTCTGATATTAAACTCATTCAAAGTCCATATTTTCATCCAGTCCTTTATAGACCATTAGTTATTCAAAAAAAAATATACTACTGAAATTTTATCCATGTCTATTTGTTATTGACCGATATAGTTTTTGTTTGCTGTCGCTTTTGCACATGGTATACATTTTTATTTGTGTAGACACCAAACGAAGAAATATACAGAAGGAAAGGCAAAAAATCTAACATCAACAGATATTTGTTTGATCAATTTAAGAAAATAAAAGAAATTTATTGTCAAACACATTTAGATAGCATCTTTAACAAGTTCACATACAAAAAAAGTAATCAGTTTCATAAAATATGACTTCTTTCTCATATAATACGTTTTCTGTGAATGAGAGAGAATGCTAGTAAAAAACTGCCTCGTAGACTTCTTTTACTTCGAACAAAATTAAATCCGATTTCATATACATTTTTGCTCTATTTTCTTTGTAGCATACGAGATCATAAAATTAAGAATCTTCATCCTTTTTCTTCTTTTCTCTCATTACGACCCATCGTATGAAGTTTGTTTATCATATAAAAAAAGTACGATCCGTGCCGTACGCAAACGTTCGAAGTTTTTTTTGCATCGTCATACACCTTTTTTTCCTTCTTTCCTCCTCATTTTAAAGGTGTGTGCCGTAGTATAAAAACGTGCTGTATTTAGAATAATAAATATTCAGAGTGTGACATATACTTACCATTCGCAATGACAAATACTTTACATCGTTTAAATTCTTCAACAAGTGAAGCAAATTTTAAATTATCATGTGATGTTGTTCATTCTAAAATTATTCGTCATGATCAATCGTTGATTGATTCTATTCTTGCACATGACAATCCTCAAGAACCTATTATTACTCTTCCTGATGGTCAAAAATATTTCTGGTATCTTGCTATAGGAAGTATGAATAATCCGATCTCATTATATCTTCGAAATCTTATTCCAATTATATCTTATCCAGCAATATGTCTTAATCATCGTGTTGTTTTTCGAGGAGTAGGTGGTATGGCTGATATAGAATCGTGTGAGGGAAGTGAATTCGATGGAGTTGTTCATTTACTTTCTGAAGAACAAATGAATCGTTTAGATAAAATGGAAATGAGTTACGAACGAATTATAGTTCCAGTTGTCAATTATCAAAATCAATCTCATTCTGCTTATGCATATAAAATGACTATAACTAGTCATCCAGATAATCTTCCAAGTGAACGTTATCTTGATATTATTGTAAAAGGATGTGAATATTATGGTATTCGTCCAGATTATATCAAACGATTACGAGAAGAACAAGCAGTTACACCTCGAAAAGAACCTCATATGTATCAATCTATTAATGATGTACCATCTGATGTATTCTATACAACTGATGATCTTGTAAAACATAATGGAAGTGATCCTAATTATCCAATTTGGATTTGTATCAATGGAAAAATTTTAGAACATGTTGGATTACCACCTAGTGATAGTCCTGAGTATGAAGCACAGAAACAATTTCATACAATTATACAATCACGATTTGCTGGACGTGAAGCTGATTTCGAAATTGCTAAAGCTTTATATGAACCATTGCACAAATTGCCATTAAATGAAGAAGATTTGACTGATGAACATCGAGCAATGCTTGAAGATCATTATTTTTCAATGCGATTTCGAAATGATCAAAATAATAACTATTGGAAACCAATTGGACGACTTCGTCGATCAAATAGAATTACAAACTCATCTTTATAAATTTGTAATAAAATATATCGCCTTAGAAATATTTTTCTATTTCATAAAAGAACAAAAACAATTTCATATTCTTCAGTTCAGTAAAAAGGTCGAGAAGATGAATTTGAATGTAAATAGGGTGTGGATGTTTTATTGATTAACATAGAAATAGGCGAATCAATTTTTCAAGCTGTTTTGTCAACATGAATCGTTTTTGACATCTTTGATGATGCCAATGGCTATTATTTTGTTCTTCTCACGTACGATGAAATTACCCAACGATGGATAAGCATCAAACTTTTCAAAGCAGACAGATTCCAATGGAATCATTTTCACTGTAGAAAGATCGCCTGATCTAATCCATTGTGGGTACATTTGAATTGATTCATTTATTTGATGATCGATTTTATCGATTAATTCAATAATTTGACATGTAACACGTGCCGTATGATAGCAGATTATAAGACGATCACCTTGTTTAAGTTGACCTGAATTATTGAGCATAAAAATCTGAGAAAATATAAAAGTAAACAAAACAATTAAGTATTTATCGTGAAAAGATAACAGTTAAATTTTACCTGAGCAATCACGCTAGTTGTCTCTCGAGACGGATGATTCTGTGTATCGGAACAGACGAGACCACGTCGTAATTCTTTCGTATGAATATTATTGATATTGAAAGCAACAATAGTACCCGGAAAAGCCTCTACAAGTATTCATGAAATTAATTTATTGAATGAAGAATTAGTTACCTGTGAGAGTTTCGTAGTTCTTTTCAATCGATTGAACAGTAGCCGTGATATTCAGTGGAGGGAAGCTTACAGTCATATTCGTCTTTAGTACACCAGTTTCGACTCGACCCATGACTATTGTTCCGATGTCACGTACTTTATAGACATCTTGTAATGGTAAACGTAAGGGCTTGTCGATAAGCTTTTGACACTGAACAATTGTATTAAGAATTTCTAGAAAAGTTTTGCAAATAACACTGTCTACTTGACGTTCTATGATTGAGCCAATGAACCAAACCATTTTGTTCGATGCTGTAATCAAATTATCTCCATTCCAAGCGGAAATGGGGATGAACGCGATGTTCTTCAATGGGTAACCAATTTTTTTCAAATAGGTGGATACTTCGAATTGGATTTGATTGAAACGATTTCTGGAGTAGCAAACATTATCAGCATCCATCTTATTCACAGCAATAATCATTTGCTTGGCACCTAATATGTAGGGAAACATAACTTGTTGACGTATTTGACCGTTCTCTGACATGGAAGTCTCAAATTCGTCAATACATGCTGACACCACTAATACCACGCAATCGGCCTAATAATACATTAGTTCATTAGAAATGATCTTTATAATACTTAGAAAATCATATTAGAAAAGCAAAAGTATTTTAAAAAATACGTTGAACTTCACATGCTGTGATACAGTTCAATGCACTATTTCTAAATATGTTTTCCTCTACTTTTTAACATAGAACTCACACTTATAAAATAAGCACAAAATCAATACAGATCTCAACTTACTTGTACTATATTCTTGATCATATTAAACACATCGCGATAATCTGGAGTGTCGATGGCAGTAATCTTATACTTGCTACTTTCGAATCTATTTAACTCTATATCATCGATGGTAATATTTGATTGTGAGATATAATGTTTTAATAATTCTGAAGCATATTTGAATGGAGGCCGATCTTTCTGTCAGATAACAAAATATTGCATGAAACTAGGTAGATATAATTAGAATGATTTACCGTAATGGTGGATGATTTTTCGCATCTCTCAATGGTTCGCTTGTCAACACCACCACATTTGTAAATCAATTGTTCAATCAGAGTCGTCTTACCTGAGTTAGCGTCACCAATAATAATGATATCAATACGGCTTTTCTCTTTATTCATCAATGAAAGAATGATGAAAAGAAATGTATATGCAAATTGTGTAACGAAATTTCATCAGTCTTACGCAATAGCCATTTACGATGATGAAATTATCAGTTCTTTGATGACTAACTATACTTTATATGCTTATGAATAGCTATGAAAGAATGAATAGTTTAAAATATATTTTATAATATTTCTTTGTTATCGTTGCTTCACTAGAAAATATGGATATAGTAATTCCGAATATAGTCTTTTAGAGTAGAATGTAATATACAATGGTTTTTGTCAATTTCAACGATTGTTACATAGAAAATAAATAGTAAAAGTATTCTGAATTCTGTAATGATATACAGAAAATACACAAGTGCTGTTTATCGAAGATATATATATAAATTAATTTGCTAATTTGTAAAAGTTCTTTCATTTTGCGTTCTGTCTTTGATAATATTCGGTGAATACTTGGAACACAATTTTATCAAAAGAAGCTGTTCACTTGTAGTCAAGTAATTTTTATTATTTTTCTCCTGCTCGTTTTTCATATAGTATAATCATAAACGCACATTGCTCGTCAAATGTTTAACAAACAATACACAGCATTTTTGTTTTGTGTTCATTAAATATTAAACCAGAGAACTGAGAAAAAAAGAAAAAAAAACATAATATCAAAAGTTATTTTAATAAACTTGGAAAAACGTTTAAAGCGTAAGGCAGTGAAAACATGTTTTGGATATTTTTTATTATATTGATACTTTCTCCTTATGATTGTATTCTTATCGGAAAAATAGAGAATAACATAGTGATTGGTAACGTATATAAATTATTATGGAATGTAACTCAAAATCGTTGTATATGTGAAATGATAACATCAAATGAAACAATATTTGCATTGAATTATTTTTCGATAAATCAGACTTGTCAATTATTCTATACAAATATTAGTTCGATCTTAATTCAATTTAATTTCAATGCTACTTTGATATTTATTAA